TGTCCACCACATGTTTCATTCTTTGTTGGTCACTTTCTACATTCTAGGGCATCTAAATGTCACATGGCACACGTAGCCACTAGGCAGCAGGAGGGAAGCAGATGCTGGCTAGGCTAGGCAGAATCAGTGTGAAGGGATGTCAGGTTCATGTTGCATTTTCCTCAGTATCTATGGGGCACTGGTCCTGGACCTCCTAAAGATACTGAAACTCACAGCTGCCCAAATCCCTTACCTCAAGTGGCCTGGTATTCACGTACAACCTACAACACATCCTCCTGTGAGCTCTAACTCATGTCTAGGTGACTCATAAAACCTAATACTATGTAAATGCTGGGTAAATAGTTGTTATGCTGCATTGTTTTTAGGGACTAAAAAGTCTGTACATGTTCAGTAAAGGGGCACTTTTTAAAACATATCGTTGGCCCACTCTTGGTTGAATCTGCAGATATGGAACCTGTTAGTAGAGAGGGCCAACCATATTTAGAGAAAGAGATATAGCATCAGAAATTGGAAATCTGCATTGTACAAAGCAGTTTGATGTTTTATACCTAGTAATATCAAATGGATGAAATGATTTTTCCCAGAATATTGTCATTGCTTACTTTTTCACATAATCACATATTTTAGAGATTTTTCTCATTTGCAATACAGACACCTCACTCACTCTTTCAAACATCACAGAGCTTATCATTACAATGGTGTGCCATAACTTATTAATGTCTTATTAACAGATATGTGGGCTATTTTCAATATCTCTGACATTTATTGCAAATTATGTAGTAATACACATTGTCCTAACTGTATGTCTTCTTCGTCCAAAGACAGGTTTCTACAATTAGAATTCTTGGGACAAAGTAATGCCAAAAACACCAACAATGAAAAGACTAGCAGGATTTATCAGAGAGGGATGTAGGCCTTATTGACAATGGTTCAATTATTTTATTTTATTTTTGAGTTATCATACATTAATGATACGAAGGGATTTTATTTTGACAATTCCATACACACATACATATGGTGAACCTTGAACAAGGTTGCCCCTCCGTGTTCATTTTAAAGAAGAGTGTATTATTGTGTCACTTGAGTAATTACAATTAAGTCCAAGAACTCAGAGGTCAGAGGAGAAGCCAGCAGTTCACACTGGCATGGATGTCTGATACCACTGTTTCCCCTCTGGTTCTTGCCATGTCTTACTTCACAGATTCTGAGGGAGCATTAATAATATGGGTACTCTACGAAACCAAATGTTGAACATATGACACCAAAAGCCATCTTTATAACAACTTGTTTTTCAGTACAGCACAGGCTTACTTCAATGGGTCATAACGCAAAACTGTTCACTCATGTTTAAATTTTGAACTGAGGAACCTGCAGCTTAAGAAGAAATGGGCCATAGAGTTGTGAGATGAAGTCTGGTGAATTACCACATAATTTGTTTTTAGGATAATGGGAAAACTCTCTGTTTTATAGTAAATTAAATTAAGTAAGATGAGTGGTAAAATGTCTTCTCAAAGTCCCAAATACTAATAACATAAATTATAATGGAAGGGATCATTGGATAATTTTATGGACCAGAAGAGATAGAAAACTCATTACAGACCACTAAAGACAGGAAACTAATTCACAGCATTGGTAATGAAAATCTGAAGGCTTACCGTTTCTCTTTCTGAAGCCATGACAAGGAGAACTGTGCTACTAAGTCAGTTTCCACTACAAGCCTAGGATACCACTGTCCTCAGCTATTGAAAAAACCACTTTTTTCATAAAAATATTTCATTTCTGACCAGTTACCTCTGTGGCCTCTTTATAAAGATGCCTAATTCTCTAGGTGTCCAAGCACTGAATAATCACTTACCCTATCTGTAATTAGTTATGTGCCTACTAATTGGTGAAATGCACCTCTCTCCCCAACACTAGAAACTTCACTAGTCAGTGAAGACAAGGCAGATCATTCTTATTTTATTGCTTTCCTTGGCACCTAACTTAGTGCTCGAACATGGCAGGTGCACAAAAAATTAATGCATGAATTAATGCAGTTAAGACAATGAATTCACAAATAATTAATATATAAACAAAAGAATGTGGATGTTATTACGATATAACTAACAATCCATCAATGGCTACATAGCCTGTGTTCTCTAAATTATACAATTTCAACTATATTACATTTGTTTGACCATAGTCCATCAAATGTTTTCACTACTAATGCTGCCACAGAGTGAACTGTCCAAAGAATAAGAGGGAGACATTATCAGTTATTAGGATTGGTTCATATAGCAAAATAGCTATTTATTGAATTCCTGCTACTTTCCTAGCACTGTGTATACAAAGATGAGCCAATGAGAAATGGTTCTTTCTTTTATCACATCAGGTCATTAGCCTGCATATGTAGGACTGGCAGGACATTATTACCTCATGTTCTTGAAAAGCATTAAGCAATTCCCAGTCACCCCATCCCTACATGTCTTGATAGAGGGATGCAATTGGCTACTCAACCAACTTTTTTGTCTAATATATTTCAAACAGTTCAGTTAGCTTAAGACAGGTCATTTCCCTCCACCCCTATATCCCAATTTCCTGAGTAATATCTTTTTCTCTACCTCTTCTCTCTTCTGTGTCACACCAAATTGAACCAGTTTTCCTGGGTGACTTTATAGGCTCTATAATCTCTCACTCCTAACTTGGAAGAGAGCTAAGGAAACTGGCTTTTAGCACTTGTCTCTGTCTTCTCATTACTGCCCTAAATGTGAAGTTAATATATGCATCCATTTATATCATACAATTCTCACCGACTGTGGTCTTACTTTGTCCTTTAGGATTCGCTTTTATCTTCCTAAATGTTTCAACACTTGGCAAACATGTTCGACTGCATTTCCCATTATGAGAAAGAGAGCATGGTGGGTGATAGCAGAGATATGGTGTCACACCATCTGGTTCAAATCCTGACTCTACCACTTCCTCACTACAATGAAAGAAGCTTAGCTTCCTCGGGTGAAGTGGGGGAGTAATAATACCTATTTCATAAGAATTAAATTAGTTGAACCTATAGCACACTTAAATACTCACTACCACATAATAAACATATTAGAATACCATTAGTATCCTTGGTAACATTAATTGGATATTAATTGTCATGTACTAACTTGCAACTTCTGGCCATACTGGCATCCATATAGAGCTCTACCTTGCACCAGCTCATCACACAGCTCTGCTTTACTCCAGGATTTCCAACCTGGTATTTCTTCCCAAGTAAAAAGTTCTTCCATTCATCTTCCTCATCACTGGAAACTCCCAGAAAGAACCTCCTCTCTATTCACTTGCCTTCCACCCCCAATTCTCTTCCAGTTCACCCAAAAATTAGCAACCTAACTTCTCAACATGTAACTCTCAGTATTTCCTAATGTGACCTTCGACTCTTAGTCTAATCTTACTCTCTATACTCTTCTCTGAATGTATACACTAAGAAGTTCTCCTCAGTGCCTGGAGAACTTATTCATCCTTTAATCAAATTAGGTTCATATCTTCTAAGAAGTCATCCTTCATCATTCTAGAGCATACTAATTCCAGCCCATAACTGTGTGCCTTCTACCAAACATACAATCCACACAAACCTCATGAATTAGTCTTTTACCTAAGCATTTAATGAGCTTCTTCATTTAAATGTTTTTACATGTATGCATGTTACCCCCATTCCCCAACTCTACTATAAGCTCCTTAAAGGTAAAAGCAACAGCAATGGAAGCTGACCATAGGCTGGACATTCTTTTGAAGACCATATGTGCATGAGCCCATTTCATCTTTAGAGCAACCCTAAAAAGTATCTACTGTTATTAGTCTCCCTTTATACCTGAGGAAGAGGGGAGGCAAAGCCAGGGAAAGATGCCATCTTTCAATAGTGCCCCAACAATTCAAAATGCAATAAAGCAGAATACGTTCAGTGTTAGTGAAAGACATTCACCTTTCATGAAAAATACATTCTGAAAATATACAAAGCAAACATTTTTATGAAGAACTCCTTTGAAAGTCCCTTCAAAGTGAAAATTCTCCGCTCCCTCCTTTGCTACTTGTAAGTAGAAGCTCTCGAAATCAGAAAACTTCAGAAACAGTGAACAGAAGAGCTGACATTCAAATCCTTGGTGCCTTGTACAGGTGTGATCTCAGCACTGCACTTCAGCTTGTTATAAAATGCACTCATTTCTATTAAAATGTGAATGGTTTTTAAAAGTGCTTTTATGTTCAAATATAAATGCGTTTGGCTGCTTAGAGTTTGGCAAAGGTAGAAAGAGAAATTTAAAAGTGTCTTCTTTGAAACTAAAAAAATCTGAAATACATTATACTAGGCAATTCCAAATTGTTAAATAAAATGCCATTTAAATGATTTTTAAAATATGCACTTTTTACTTAAAGCAGAATACTTCTTTAGGAATTATATTATTGGGATATCCAAATAGTTAATTTGTTCTAAATAGTTTGTGCATATCCTTTTATAGACTTAAAATATACTAAACAAAAAGAGAATTAAAAAATTTTACTTAGAATTACCATTAAATGGGAGTATTAAGACAAAGTCAGATGGCAGATTTATAACTGCATCATACAGATGCATTTTTATATACATATATACATAATGTTATATATTTGTAACTGTGACAAATATGTGTTCTATATGAATATGAATGTATGCACACATATAAACACACACTACTACTGTTTTACTTTGGATCAAGATTTTAAAGTGCTACATATATATAATATATATATGAAACACAATACTAGTTGCTATACACTATCAGCACTGTCCTCAGCATCACTGTAACTTGTGTCTACCATTGAAAGTTAGTCAGTGTGAACTGTAATAGCTAACCACGGTCCTTCTTGTTAAAATGTCATCATGTATTTTAAGCCATTTCTTAGCAATGGTTAATTAAAATCTATGACATATCAGATGGTCTGCACTGGGAGTTAAACCAATAGCAAAGAATCAGGAAAACAGAGCCTACCTTCCATTGCCCTTTTAAAGAAGACCTTACAGCTCCCACAGGTAAGGACACCATAATGACAGCCCGATGCTTCATCACCACAGATTAAACAAATCTTCTGAGGTAAGGACTCAAAGCTGTACTGGGGGCTCTGGCTGGCTTCAGAATCCGGCCTTGAAATGCAAAACAAAATACTCCATTTATTTATTTTTAGCTGTACCACTATCTAGTAGGAAAGATTTCTTAAACTGGCATTGACTAGGTGAACTGTCTTACATATACACACTTCAAAGATGTGCAAACTAAGCTTGATATGGTAGACTACTGTACCTAGTAGACTTACAAATGATTACCCATTATTGTAACAACTGTTGTAAATGTCACAATGTACCCCCAGTACAACAATAAAATTTTTTTAAAAACCAACACGAAAGAATAATAATTAGTGTAGCACCTGACCCTCAGGACAGCTAAAGTCAATCAGTTAAAAAGAAATCTTTTTACAGAACTCCTTGTACAGAGCAACTTAGTCTTCGAAGAATGATATACTGTGCCCTTCTTGTATGCAGGGTAACAGTAAGCAGGGTTTGGCTTTTGGAGCTCAACCAAACTTAGCACTGCTGTTGTTCTGAGGTTTGAAAACTCAGCCCTTTAATGATGGCTTATTTAATCAAGTCTATATGTACACGTGTGCATACGCCATTTCAAGGTATTGTTCAACACACTATCACTCTTTTACCTAAAAACAGTATGCAACACTTCAAACCAAGCATTCTTTTTTTTTCTTTCTTTCAGGTCCCATTCCTCACTATGTAAATTTAAATGTCCATGAAAAAAGTTGCAGGGGATCCCGGAAGCAGTATTAAAATAAGGTTCACTGCAGTCTTCTTGTCTTAATCAGCAATTTAAAAACGCACTACACTTGAAATTAGCTTTCATCTTGCGGTTCAGATGAACCCTGAGATGTGAACCCAAATCCCTAAGGAGTTTCTATTTTCAGGTGTGCAGCCCCCCTTCCAGCCCCAGCCCCTCAGGGGGAACCTTGCCTTAGTTGCCCTGAAGTACAGATGTCTCTCCAGGCAACAGTCCTTCCCAGAAAGACACCTCTTACAAAAAGTCCCCACCTCTCATGGCGCCCCCTCCTGAGACCACCCTGGACCTAGTGTGACACCTGCATTTTCAAGTAGGCTTCGGAATGCGACAGCCCCACAAAGTTGTGTGGTTTTTCTTTTTTTGGGGGCCCCCAAATGTCACGCCCTGAGCCCCATTGTGTCCCCAAGGGAGCAAGGAGAAGAAGGGGCCACTGCCCTTGCGCTCGGCCCCGGTCGCCCACTCCCTCGCGGCCACCGTGGGCAGCAGCGCGGGGTGGTGCTGGCTGGGGACGGGGGGCGCGGGCCTGACCCTGGCCTGCGGGGCGCAGCCTCACCTCAGGTAGTTGAGATAGGGCGGGTAGACCTGCGGCAGGCTGTCCTTGAGCACCGCCGCCTGGTAGCCGAGCTGCGGGAGCCCGTTGAGGCCGAGCGGCGGGTAGAGCGCGGGGCCCGCCGCGGCGGCGGTGGCGGCGGTGGCCGCGGTGGCCGAGGGCAGGGCGTCGCGCGGGAGCAGGCAAGTGCCGGCCGCGGGGGGCTTGCAGGGCAGGGGCGCGAACGGGCCGGGCTGGGGCGCGGCGCCCTCGGCTTTGTACAGCATGCACTCCAGGGTGGAGCCCGGCGCGGACGCGGGGGACACCGAGGCAGTGGTGGCGGCGGGGCCGGCCACCGCCGCTTCCCCGGGTCGGGACGAGGACGCTCGCGGCGGCGGGGGCGGCGGCGGGAAATCCGGCAAGGCGGCGGGGTTGGCGCCGGCCACCAGGTAGGCGCGCGGGGAGCGCGCGGCCGCCTCCGCGCCTTCCTCCTCCTCCTTGATCTTCAGCGCCGCAGGCTGGAAGTCGCCGTACAGGGCGAACGCGTCGTCCTTGGGGTCGCCGTCGGACGGGTAGGCGCAGTCGGGGAAGTCGCCGCAGGGGACCGGGGTGGCCGAGGCCGAGCCCCGTGGCGGGACGAAGGCGCTGGTGGCCGCGGCGCCGCCGTCGTAGCCCTCGCCCTCCAGCAGCTGGCGGGTGCGGGCGGCCAGGAAGGCATGGTTGAGCGGCAGGATGGGCACGTGGATAAAATCCACCACTGCGGGGGCCAGCGGCGAGCGTCCGGGCGCCAGCGGCGCGTCCGGCTCCGCCACGGGGACCCTGGGCGCCGGAAAGCGCGGGTCTTCCTTGGGGACCAGGGCGACGCCTCCTGCGGCCGCTGCGGGCGCACTGGCTGCCACTCCTCCTGGGGCCCCCGGGCCCCCCAAGGCCCGCGCTCGGCCCTTCAGCAGCGAGCCCGCTGCGCCCTCGGACTCGGAGTCGTCGTCCTCGTCCACCTCCACGGCGGCGGGCGGGGACGGCTTGGCGGCCGCCCCGGGCCAGTGAGGGCTCCCGGAGGTGGGCAGCAGGAGCGGCCGCGACGGCGACAGGCCCCTGGGCAGCACCTTCTGGGCCGCTCCGGTCCCGGGGCTGTCGCAGGCCTTGCTCTCGGGCCGGCTCATGAGCAGGGGCAACACCCCCTTGGTAGCGGGGGCGCTGCGGGGCTCTTCCGGGAGCTCCGGGCCAAAGAGGCACCAGGGGCTGATGGCCTCACAGGCAGGAGGACTGGCGTGGCTCTGTCCAGGTCCCGAGGACGACAGGAGCGTGTCCAGGACACTGTCCAGCAGCCGACTGTCCTTTTCTGGGGCTCTGGGATTGCAGCTTCCTGCACCACCTGCTGTGGCTTCTACTCCGGAATAGGCGCGCTCCACTTCGGACAGCGACTGTCGCTCTGGCGCCTTTCCGTCCGGGGGGTCCTGTCCCTGGCAGGGCCGTGGGAAGAGCAGCCCGTCCAGGGAGGTGACCACGGGCGAGGCGTCCAAGGACTGGCTCCCAGGGAAGGCGCCTGAGTCCGTGCGACCCAGCAGGGGGGCTCCGACCTCGGCGGGGGAGGGCGCGCCGCGTGTCGCACGGGGAGCCCGGGGATCCTTTGCCTTCGGCTCGCTCATGACCACCGAACTCCCCTTTTCTCCTCCCCTGTCTCTAGGGAGGAGGGAAAGGGGCAGGAGGAGGGGGTGTCGGTAATATAGGGGCCGAGGGAGGAGAAAATGGGTGTTGGATTTGGCCGGACCCCGGGGATCTCCACCTCCTGAGTCGGGAGGGGCGGCGCTGGTCAGCTCCCGCCCTCGCCCTCCATCCTGGTCCGAGGTCGGTGGCGGTCCTTCTGTCCCTGTCCCCCGGCGGCGAGAGAGGAGAGCCAGGAAAGGTAGCAGTGGGAAACTGGTGACCTCACTGGAAGAGTTCTTCAGGACAGTTCTCCGGCTGGCCGGCGTCTGTCCTTGGCCCGCAGTCAGTCCAGAGTGCTCACAAGTCCCCCGCAGGAGCGGCTGCAGCTGCGAAAGCACTTGATCTACACGCGGCGCTATCTCCCCAGTTTTTTGTTTGTTATTTTTTTCTGGGTGCAAAACCGGAGTGTAGGAAGCTGCCAGTCCTCGGATGCGTTTCTGCCCTTCTAGCTAAAACCCTTAGGCTAGCTGGACCCTTCAGTACAGCCCATTGTCCGTGGCACTTCTTTCTGCGGGCTCCCTGCAGCAGGCGACGATCCTCTCCAATTCTCTCAGGGTTCTAGAAAGTCTGGGAGGACCATCCTCCTCTGGTTGCAGGTTTCTTTCACTCAAATGCCAAGGGAAGCCAGTTGCCATTGACAGTGCTCTCTGCACTCCGGCATCCTGGCACATACAAATACTATCAGGCTTAGACTGGTCCCGCAGCTTTCTAACAAGCCTGCTGGCGCTAAGGATGCCCGCCCAAAGCCCCTCCCCGCACCAATTACGCACCAGACAGGAAACTTGGAGTCGGTATTACCACCCACTAGTCTGAACTCAGATTATCAGGTGCTCTGGAATGGAGCCTCATAAGCATATGATCTTGTGTACTAGTAATTAAGAATTATGCTAATCTAATTGTAAAAATGAATACTTCATTCTATTAGAAGCAAAATTGTAACCCTTCAGGACTGTAACTATTTAACATAGAGGAGATATTTAGTGGCATTATCTTTTGGAATAAATGTACCAAGGATGGTCTTAAATATTTTTCAAGTGATTCTCTCCTTGTGAATTGCATGAAAGTGAATGCTTTCAAATTTCTTATTACCAGCAGCACGTCGTACCCTTCTTGAATGGGCTCCAGTGTGACCTGTACTGGAAAGTTTGGATGTTCTGTGCACGCTTGATTTGTCCTAAGGAATGCAATTCCATTTTTAATAGGTATCACTCAGAAGCAAGGTTCCTTTAGCTACAATTTGTACCCTGTACCCTATCATAAGATCCCCAATAGAGATGTTGAATGGTATTTTCTTACCTTAATATTCTTATTCTTAAAAATAATTATTTTTGCACTTTTAGACTAAATCACCTCTAAATTTATGAAGACACTGCAATATGTATTGCAGCATATATTTCAGTTGCAGTCGTAAACTGACCATCTCTGTGTTAAGATCATTGACATCATCCTAAATATTCCCTGTTCAAAACAGAGTTGATTATTTGGAAGGTTCTTTTTAGGGTGTCGAGTCCTGTATATGCTGATGCCTCACACTTTCTCTTACTCAGGTATAAAGGATGACAGGATGGGTGGAGCCTCTGCAGGTAAGGAGTCTGGATCCCTGAATCTCCTGGGGAGGGGCTACATGAGTGAGAAATACACCTTTGTCATGCTAGACCACTGGGTTTTGGAGTTGATAGTTCCAGCAATGAGTTATCTCTAAATTTAGATATGTAGGAATCAGGTAGGTAGAGGAGGGGTAAAGAAAATTCCAGGAAGCGGGTGTCATGTTCGGATTCACAAGGCATCAATAGGAAGATGCAATATGGGAGGGAGCTGACATTATGGATAAACACTGAGCAAATATGGGAAGGAAGTAGATGAGGCTAGACAGGTGAACTGATTTATTGTTATTAATATTGTTGTTTTCAAACTTTCCCTTTTCCAGTCCATCTTACAACACTCTGCATGCATTATTGAGCTGTAATCCAGGTATCACACAGTGCACACACTTAGAGCATACATATCGTATTCATAATTGTGTGACTATCACTATGATCAATTCTAGAACATTTATGTAACCTAAATAAGAAATCTTATATATCCATTATATCCTCTCCACTCCCCCTCCAAACCTTCCAGCAGCCACCAGTGTACTTTCTGTGTCCGTAGAATAGTCTACTTTGGACATTTCACATAAATGGAAACAGCACATGTGGTCTTTTTTGACTGTGTCCTTTCACTTAGCATAATGTTTTTAATATTCTCCAATGTTGTCTATGTATCATTGCTTTTTATTGCCAATTAATGTTTCATTGTATAGATACACCGTGTTTTATTTATCCACTTACCAGCTGGTGGACATTTGAGTTGTTTCTTTTTGCTTTTATGAAAAATGCCTTCATGTGCTAGTTTTGTGCAACCATAGACTTTCATTTCTATGGGGTCTGTACCTGGGACTGCCATTGCTGGGTCGGTCATATGGCAATTTGACTTTAACCTTTTGAAAACTGGCCTGTTTTTTCACCATGACCATGCATTCTACATTCTCACTAGCTTTGTAGGAGAGCTCTAATTTCTGTACACTTTTGGTCTCTGTTTTTTCTGACAGCTCTCCTAGTGTGTGAACTGGTACCTTGCTGTGGTTTGGTTTGAGTTTCCCTGAGAGCATGTGTAACAACTTCTTCAGTTCTTCAGTGCTATATTACCCCCATAGTTGGGAAAACTCATGCTCAGTGTTACTTCACATTACAAAGAGTAAGTAGCAGGGCTGGATTTGAACCCAAGCAATCAAACATCAGCATCTTACAGATGCAAATTTAAATGTCAGATACCTGGGAGTTTGTTTTCCAGGTTGCTGCCATAAAATTAACACTTGGCCCCATTTTTAT